ACGACATTACAATTCTTAATAAAGATTAGTTGGAACTAAAAACAAGTTTAATATAACTATTAATTAATATAAATTGACCAAACTGTAATTGCCCGTGAGGTGGGGCACGGTACCCAAAACAGAACGGACCTCAAAAACCAGCGTGTAAGCTGCTCCAAACGCCAAAGCTGGCACGGCGGCTACAACCTATACGCTCTTCTCCGCACCTCTTTTTTTATCAACAAAAAAAAATACCATTTACATTTTTTTCACCAAAAAAAAACCAAACAAATTTCATGTTCTTCCTCTTCATCTCTGTCTATTTAAGAAGAAGATAAAATAAAATTCAATCACGCTCCTTCCTTCCATTTCCGATTTCCTTAGGAGACGACAATTTCAAAACAATTGATTGAATTTAAAATACAAAGCTTAGGTGGAATTTGTGAGGTTGTTTTAGGGTTGATGAGTTCTAGTAACCAATCGTTGGCGGCGGAAGGTGGGGAGATGAAGGGAAAATTTTTGGAAGAGAAGGATCAGGTTCGGGTTAAGAGGAAGACTTTGCAAGCCGTGCTGGAACAGTGCCAGAGAGCTCTCGAATTGCTTAATAAAGCCGAAGCTGGAATTGACGATAACGATGATGACGAAGAAGATGGATATGATAAAGATGTAGATCGTCGAGGGGAAGTCAGCGGTGGCGGACTTCAAAGCGACCAAGAAGCTGACGAGGTTTGTGTAATTCTATTTGTTTTGTTTTCTAAGAGATTTGATTCTGGAAATTCTACGCGAGAATCTTACGTATGCAGCTTTTATTACTTAAGAACAATTGATTTTCATTTTGGTGGATTTGTTTTGTTTGTGAAGATTTAGTTTCTTTTCTTCTACGCTTTGTTATGGAGAATTCTATGTCAGAAAACTATGAAAATTTTAATTCATACAGTTTCAGCTACGTTATGTAGTTCATTAGGATTATGCATTTCATCCTTGAGTAATAGATAATTCGGATCTCAGTTGAGCTCAGCTTGAATGAGGCATTTGGACTAATATTATAGCTAAATGGCAGTTCTCATTCTGGTATTTCTTAAGTTACAGGTTTTGCTGTGATGACTTTCACTTTCGAGTTCTGGCTTGGTTGAGAAGTGTTTTCTGTCATATGAGGGATAAATTATTGTTGATTAAGAGCTAATATTGGCTGGGGGTGCATTCTTTCTATATCAAATTGGACAAGAATATATTACACACTTCACCTTGTCAGATTTGTTATATGACGTCTTCCTTTGCTTAAGAATCCGTTTGCCTCATAGCCTTTTTCTCATTTATGTCAACTCAACTGCCATGCTCCTTTCTAATGTGTTTGTTTCTGTCTTGCATGCAATTATTTTGAAATAAATGAATGAAGCAGCAAGAATATTGAAACTTCTCATTCATAATTTCATATATTAGAATTTTGGTCCAAAGATATAAGATTGGGAAGCAGTACAAAGGGATTTCGAATGGATAAATGAAATGAAAAAACTGAGCCAGAAGTTTGTGATAAACTGGAACCTTCTTCTGTTCATCTAAATGTTGAGTCTGATGGGGGGAAATTGGTTTATTCTCTGATGGTTGTATTCTTCTTTGGAGTGTGAAGTTTGTGCGTGTGTTTCTGTAGTTGTTATTTCATTGTATTCGATTTTGCAGTCACCTGTTTATTAAATATCGTGATCACAGTAAATGTCCATATTACACTTTCATGCTCTTTTCAATCTACATATTTTATGGCAAATAAATTTTGAAATCCACTTAAATATGGTGATCCCTATCCTGCCAGAAAGGAACCCTACTTAATTTGCAATAATATATGGATTGGAGTTGCCTTTCATATCAAATTTCCAAATAACTTTCAAAGTTTATGCTCCTTTTGTTTTAAATGCAGTTATGCTATCTTCTCAAATCTAGAGTTCAATGCTCTGAGTTCCTTGAAAAGCTAGAGTGTGCTCAGGTGGCTGTTCCAGAAGACATTGCCGTATGCATCCAAAGACCCCTTTAATTTGTTCGCATATGCAATTTTCAATTTATTGCAAATGCTTTGAACATGCATCTTTGGTTTTTTTCGGTTCTAATGAAATTCTAATATGGACCCAGAAGATTGTAGTTCTTGGGACATGATCAACGAAAATGATCTTTGGGAAGATGAAGTTTGTTGATCTAGATGGAGAAGATTATATTCTTGTTAGGCAGGAGGATAGTAGAAGGAGTTGCTTGTTTTATGGCTGCATATTTGCTGTCCCTTAAACAGACTAAGGTATGTGAAATTCTTGCTCTTTCTCAGTGTTATTATTTTATATCCTTTGTTGTCATTCACTTGTATTATACTTAAGCCGTAAAATTTTGATGGTTCCATTTCCAAGTTCATTCGGGGCCTTACTTTCTGGCAGCCCGAATAGAACTGTCTACATGCATTCATTGATTCACCTCTGGAGGCTAAAGTGTTTTATTGTTGTTTCTTCCCCAGGATTTGACCCCCAATCAACTTCAGGAAGGTGAGTTTGTTTGTATTCATGTTATATTCCACTCTAAAAGAATTCAATGTAAAAGACTGAAGCAGAAGTTGAACCAGTCAGGCTTCCACTCTGATCAAAACTCCTCTTTTAATATTTAAAAATAGTAATAAAATAAATATTAAATATAGTTTGTAATTAATAAAAAAATGTTTTTTTGGCTTAATGATATGATCTTTAGTATAGGTTAAAGGTTCAAATCATCAATTATAAACAAAATTTTGGAAACAAATACAAAAATGGTTGTCTTATTGGTTTTATGTGGCCTTTTACCGGGTGTTACTGATTAATCGAGTTGCAATCCCAGGTTAATATACTGTAGTTGGAAAAACAGGCTGCCAGATTTTTATTTTCCATCTCAAGTATCTTTTATTCCATAACTAAGTCATTAATTCTCTTGTAGCACTGAGCAAGACCTTCTCTGTAAAAAGGAAAAGGGGAAAGCTTCGAAGAGCATGGGATGGAAAGTCATTTATAATGTCGCATCTTGGGGAGCAACTGCAGTCGGGTGGGTTATGGTTTTAATCTTAGCAAACAATTGTCTCTCGGTTCCTCAATTTGCTTGTAGAAGTTCTCTACTCAGCTTTGGTCTATAAACATGCGGCATTTTCCTATTCTGTTATTTGGATTTCGCTTAATTTCTTTTGGCTGAAACAATCCATTTGTTTGTTTATTCTCAACAGGATATACCAAAACCCTTTACTTTACCAAGCTGCATCGAAAGCCTTCTGGACTTCGTGTAATGTACTCTCGAAACTTATCTGATTTCTTTACATTACATGGACAACAAAGCATGATGTGTTGGAAATCCGTGTTGTATTTATGCTTTCATGGTGTCAAATTGCCAGCTTGTTGTTAACACGAATACCATTCTTTTTCATGCTAAAGATCCATTGTCTTACCCCTTCTAGATTTAATCATTGTAAATATTGTTTTCTTTTATTGGATAATTTCTGATTGCAATTCAAACTCATTGGCAATTTGGCATCATGTGATGGCTCAATCAGACTTTCAATCTCATAATAGTTGCTGTTTGAAACCAGCATATGCTTTAGGTATCTATTGATAGTCATTTTAATTTTTTAGAATTTTGTTTTGTTTTTCTAGAAAGGTAACTTGTTTACATTGTTGCCTACGTTGTAGGCTTTACCGATTATTAAATATTAGAAGGAAGGGTTTGGATTTGAGGGCAAGCTTTAGGAAGTCTTTGTAAGATAATCAACCACGTATACAGAAACGTGGCAACGTCTTATTTTTCTTCCTCGGGTTTTCTTTTCCTTTTTGTTGTTGTAATTCTTAGTTTCGGTGTTTCCCTTGTTTTGCAGAGCAAAGAAGGTATCTTTAATTCATTAGACTAAACGTGGATGATCAGATCAACTAGCCAATAATAATAATATGGTTTGTGTGGTGAGTTGAGTACAGATTGAGACGCAGCCGTGAGAAGAGTGATTATATATTATTGATATATTTAAATTATATCAAATTAATATAATCCCAACCGGTGTAATTAGTTCACCAAATTAGTTGGGCTTTAGATAATTTAAATTTTTAATTATGTATTATAAATATATTTGAAATAATATATAGGTACGTTTCCTCGACTGGTTCAGTTCACAATTTTAAAAAACCCCCCAAAACTCAGAAATAACTAACTAAATCAATCTCGGTTAAATTGAAGTGACGGATAATTTTTTATTGTTTTTCTCAATTATAATCTCATACTTACTATGCCCTTGGGCTTGCAGTTACCTTTAATAAGAGAAATGCTCTTAGGGAGGGTAGGAGCAATCCCCTTAAAGTTTTAAATTCACACACACACACACACATATATATATATATATATATATAATTTTGAAAAAGATTAAAAATTTATTTCCACTGTCTAAAATTTTATAAGTTCGTATTCTCCTTAAAATTTTATAAGTTTATTCATTTTAACATAAAATTAATTCTACATCTGCCCCTGAATAGAATAATGTTCTATTGATTACTTAATTGATTTCCCTCTCTTTTTAAATCACAAATAGTACATCTGACCTTCAGAATTTTGCTATACCATATAAGTGACATGGAAGACATTAACCCTAATAGTGGGGGTGTTAAAAGGATTTTTTACAAGGTAAAAAAAGACTAGGATGATAAAGAGATGGGAGACTAGGAAGCTAGAGTGTCAACTCCAAACATTGGTCTCTAAAACAACCAAAAAGTATGTGAAAATGAACTTGTAACTAAACAGGTGTTTGTTTTTCATCCAACAGGTCCATGTATATGATCCAACACGAATATGATAGTTCAACCCCCAAGTAGCTTATCCTAGAATAATGGCCAGTTGGTCACCAATCTAATTTCACACCAAACAAGTGACCTAAACCTAAAGCATGAGAAATATACAATGTAGAATAGTAGGACCTTTACACGATGAGCACCATTACCATACAACTATAGTTTAGAAAGCAAGCAGAAATTGTGGGGATCAAATACTTGTTGAAACGAGCTGTGCCTGTATTTATCGAATCGAATCTCATGTCTTACTTCCAAAGCAACTTACTCTAAAACGATTTTTCCTATCACAACTCGATTTTGAGTTTTCATATTGTATGCATGACATGCCACCTTTATTCTAGTGTCCTAATGGCATCTATCCATGCAAACCATATATGAGATTTGGCATCTTAAAGGAAACACTACTTAATGGTTTCAAGCATTCCAGCAATACCACCTCTGAGAAACTCAATCCTTTGTACTGTTCTTGAGCCAGTTTAGATACTGTGGGCTGCCACCAGTGATGGGCAATGCAATTACTTCTGGTACACTAAAAAATGAAAGAAAAGGAAAAAGGTAAGGTCCAGAAATTGATCTAGCATGCTTTGGTTTATTGTATTCTTTAATTTCTTTATTTAAAACAGATGATATTTTCTTGGCTTTAAAAGGAGTTAAAAATAAAAGTTTAAAATAATGTCCCATAAAGAATAACAAACACATCAATTATTTTCCTTTTAAAACAATCCTTAATCCATGCTTCAGTTGCAATTTCTAATTTTAAGTTCAAGTCGGAACATTTTTATTTGTTGAAAATATTAGAAGCAGGCTTTGTGCTTACTCATATTCATGATTTGCCTTGACATGCTCTGTCAGAGCTTCGAGAAGAGATTGCCTTGTCTTGATTATGAGCAGTTCCTCGGGATCGGAGTTGATCTGCAGCCAAAGAGACATAATTAGGTTAAACAAGCCTAGACAACAGCCATCAGAAATGTCTAGATTGACCCCCTAAGCAAAAGCTTTGAGATTAAAAGGATTTTCTCTTCAAGATTCTCGAAATCTTTTGTTGCAAAACTTAAGCCTTAATATTTTAAGCACATAAGTTCAAGAAAAGCAAGTATCAAAAGAAAGTCCACCTTTCCCTCCCATTCATACTGATTCGATACCTGCATCCACAATAACCATGGTTGAAGAAAAATCAAAAGAAATCAGAAATAAACCGTCCCTCATGAAATTAAAAAGAAAAGAACAGGAACATTTCAAAATGCAAGTTGAGCAGAAAAAGACCAACTCGATTCAGTTCAAGGAATCTTATGAAACAGAATACAAGAGTTATTACTGTAAAGCAAGACATTCAAGCTACAAGATCACTTATGTACGAATTGCCATATTGAAACTGAATAAACTAGATAACTGACTAATCCCAAATATCTTTACAAGATAGTCTGAGGCATCCATTCATTTCCTAAAACAGATGTAACTAGCTGATCGATGGTTTCGGTAATCAGTATTAGTTTGAAACATGCATTTTTATTTATTCTTGATAAGGTTAAACATGCAAACTTAATAGGCAATCTATAGATTAAAACATACATAATGTACAATAACACAATCACAAAAACAATACATTCCCATATCTGAACTAGATTGATATATTATGGTACACATTAAAAGAATTATAAACTTAACCTGGGACTATATTTACACATGCTGCAAGTTTCTCTTTGACAATGCTTCCAGCTAACTTCCTACCTGCGTATAGATCATGCATTACTTTTAGAAAGCTACTTTCAAGTTTCAACTACTTTAAATATTCAATACATGGAAATGGATTATTCAGCAAAGTAAGCAGAAAACTTAATATTAAGAAGAAAAAAGGTACGGAAATTCTACATTTCCATAGGTGGAATGATACGAGTGAATCAACAAACTTAATACTTGCATTACAACCTTGGTTTTGAAATGGCATTTTCTAAAGTCTAATACTTTTCGATACTGAAAGTAAGATTTGGGTTTAGGCGTTAGCTTAATTGGTTTAAGCAATTATCCTTGAAAGATGTCAAAAAAGAACGAAGTTCGAATCAGTGTATCTGCAAATCCAGCCACTAGCGTTACTGTGTATGGGTACACAGCAAATGGCAAAGTATTCTCAATTAAATCTTTATATTCCCAAATACTGGAATATCCTAAATATGATTCTTTCCCCAAACCCATATTCAATTTGTCCACAGAATTCACGTTAAACAATTAATCTTTCCAACACCCATAAAGAAAAGGGAAAACCTGCTTCTCTGTTAGGAACGGTAATAAACGACGATGCTTGGAACGGTGTCGCTATTCGCTTCCATTTTCACGGCGTGGATGGTCTTATCTGCTGATTGGGCACTAAACTTCGATTTAAAACAAGAATCCCAACATAAATTAGAGCTAAAACCCACATAAAACTAGTAATAAAAATCACTTGAGTAACAACCACTACCTTAAGAGGGGAACAGGGGAGAGACTGAGCGCTGCCTGTTTTGAGATAAAAGGGAGAGGGAAGAGCTGGGCAGAGATTGGAAAATCCTACACTGACGACGAAAAAAACACGACCAGAGGCAAACGGCGCCGTACTATGGCGGGTGAAACCAGCGATGGAGCTCTGATGCTGAGAATGGAGGCCATTTTGGTTGGGATCTGACTTATATTTGATGTCACGAGGAGAAGCCCATTACTAAGAGTTCACAGTTCCATGATCTTATATACTTTCCCACCCAAAACGTGGCAGTATTGGATTTTAATCTTGTACTACTAGTTAATGGCTTTCTTTATTCCAGGTCATTCTCAAAACGATATATTAAAATAATACATAAATTTTAACAAAACATATGATATGATACCTAAATTAAATTTTATAAAATTATATATATATATATGTCAAATTTTAGTTTAATTAATTTTTGTTAAAAGATACATTTGTAAAGTTATTAATATTTTTATCAATTTTATATCATTAGTTTGAAGAATATTCCCATTCTAATAACATATGTCCTTAATGGGGGAAAAATTGTTTTGCTTCTTTTGCTCTGCTACGTATGGGTGAGTATTTATTGAGTCAAGTTGAGTCATAAAAATTTTGAGTTAATCGAATTAATGAATGATATTTATAACTCAATTTTTATTTAATTTTTAAATATTTAATTTTTTAATTAAATTTAATTGTAAATATTTATAATATTATGATAGAATAATTTTCTATAACCATATATGATATACGTATTTTCTTTTTTTTTCTTGTGTGATATATATATATATATATATATATATATATATATATATATATATATTAATATTATATATATCATGCATAATTAAGTAACTCGAATTGAATTTAAAAATTAATCTACTAATTATTAAAAAAAATTATAATCTAATTTAAATTTAAATTTCTTTCAAATCGAAATAAATTTATAAAAATATAAATCAAATTAATTTTTTAAGGTTAAATCAAATAGAAATTTTCAATATTTCCATCACTACTATACTTGCATATAAATATGTAATGGCCATTCCAAAGCAAAATCGTGGATTAGGGGGATGGGGCCATTCCTTTTTCATGTATCACATCAGATGAATGAAAAAGTATCCAATTTGGTTATAAAGAAGAGAAAAACCCCCTTCTTACATTCGACATTTTTCCCGATATATCACATTTTCTATTTAATTTTCCCTGTCAGGCATCCTTCAGATTATTTTTTCTGATCTAACACCCTTTGCAGTAAGACACGTCCCCTACAGCGTGCTTTACGTTGATCTGACGCCACGTGGGGTAAGGCACCCCCCTAAAAAGCGTCTTATGCTGACTGGATACATGTGTGTAAAGCACGGTGCAGGCGCCGCGCCTTACCTACAAATCTGACACACGTCAAAAAGGCGCGCTAATTACCTACCTACCTACCCTGACCGTTCACACCCCATCCCTCCCTATAAAAAATTTGTTACATCAAATGGAATGTCTGTATCTGACTTCTCTATAAGGCATGAAATGTTTCGTGTCAGAGAGTTACCGCGACCTCTTCAAGGGATTGAAGTTGTGTCGTTAAGAGTAAATCTACGGGAAAGAACATGCGATTGCGGGTAATTTCAAGCTCTGAAGTATACATGCTCTCATGTGATAGCAGCTTGCTCGCATATGCGTCAAGGCTATAACCGTTTTGTGGATCCCGTATACCTACTATCTGAAGTTTATAAGGTATACGAATTTGAGTTCCCACCATAGGTAATGACAAAGACCCTGATGAGGTTCATGATTAGCTTCTGATTGTACCAAATCTGAGTTTATTGAGGGAGCGTAGTCATCCAAAATCCAATCGAATTCATTGAAATATGGATATTCGATAAAGATCTAGACAAGACAGAAGATGTGGGCATTGTAGAAACCCAAGACACACTAGAAAAACATGTCCACTTCTGTTGTCATCAAGTAACAATTGATGAGGACATGATGTAGTTGTTATCAAATAATAATCTTGTACTTTAATTTGCATTTACTTAAAGTTAATGTCATTCGATAACCGCTGATGAACAGTAAAAAATGATACAAGAAAACGAGATTGAACGTTGTCGTTATAAGTGATTATATTAAAAGATATGATAAGTGACAAATTGAAGAAAGTTTGAGAACACAATTATTAACTTTTATAAAACTAATAACAATTTGGTATTTGAACATAATTTTAAATACAACAAACTTACAAAAAGTATTAAATGGTAAATGATAACCAAATAACAATAACTGATATTAAATGGTAATAAAACAAATTAACCAAAATACATTAACAAAATTGTATAACAAATTTAATAAAATAAATTAAAATAAATCCAACCACATTAATAAAAAAAAGTAAGTATTAAATGATAAATAATTAAAAAATTACAATAAAAAAGTCCAATAAACAATTAAATACAAATATTAAAAAAACAAAATCTATCGATGCATGCGACGCGAATGTGTTCCGCAGGGCGGTGGCTGTCGGTCTCGAGGAGGATTTCTTCGTATCAGTGGTTGTGACTCCTCGCTGTCATCATCATCACCATCATCGTCGTCGTCATCGTCGTCTTCGTGAGCAGCTACATTAGGTTGATGAGTAGCTGATGACGATGAAACACCTCCATAGAATAAGGACCCTGGAGGGTATGACTGACTATCCCACCGGCTTGCGAAAACTGGGAAAACTCATAAAACCCAGACATCGCTGAGTGTGAAAACTGTACAGGAAGTGTATGTGATGCGACCATGGGTGATGAGGTTGAACCAGCCAAAATATGGGCATATGAACCCCAAGTCAGATCTACAAACATAGACCCATAATATCCTCTAGGAGGGGTCATAAAACTCTGTGACGGTGACGGCGGTGGGGTCATAAAACCAGGTGACAGTGGCGGTGGTGGCATTGGGTAAGGGAACGGTGATGGCGACATCACATATGGTTGTGGAAGGTAAGTCGCTGTAGACAGTGGCTATTATGAATGTCCTGCTAGTGCAGCTGATGATGAACCAGAAACACATGCTCTCCGTCCACGAGTCGGGGGACGATGGTGATGTGTCGTTGAACGTCTCTGTCGACGTCGTTGAAATGTCTACCCTCGTGCATCCTCGGAAAGCATAAACGGTTTCCCGTTACAGTTGAACACTATTGAACCACTCGTAATAACCGTCAGCAACCATGTATAAAATGATTAATATAAGAAATCAGTTTTATAATTACCTCAATAGTAGTGGAAATACGAATGAGTTCTTGACAACAGAACATAAAAAGGGCAATCGATACCACGCCCAAGATTGCAGCAACAAGAGATATCTGCCGATAGCATTTTTTCTGTAGTCAATTGAGCGACACATCTCCGTATACAGGAAAGTCAAAACTACCGAGCCCCAACTGAGTGATACGGCCAGATGAAAGTCGCCAAGATGTCGCAACCAAATACAGTGAACTTGGTTGCACGATTTGTCTAGCATCAACAACCCTGCTATCAGCTGCGGTATGCATGCCCGTGCATACATTTTAACTCCATCATCAGAGGTGTCCTCGCTCAACTCCCGAAAATTGGCATCTAACCAATTTAACGGTATCCGATCACCGTTAAAACTTTCCGGGACACATCCTAGATAGTCCCGGCACAAAGCAGTCCATGAACCGTGCGCCATCCACGATATCACATCTCCATCCACCGGAAGCCCCAGCTGCATAGAAACATCCTCAAGTGTAATCGTGCACTCTCCGCACGAAAGATGGAATGCATGGGTCTCCGACCTCCACCGCTCCACTAAGGCAGCAATAAGGTCTGGTTCTATCTTACAGTGACCCTCATATCTACCTATGTGACCGAATCCAGCCTCTACTAAATACGACATGGCATGGCCAAGTATCACTAACTTAAGGCTCCTAATAAAAGGATCTAATATACGATCTATCTCATAAAATATAAATAATTATAAAAATTAATTTTTAAACTAATAATCATGCATTAAATAAATAAATAAATTATTAATATTAATTTAAATTAAAGTAAAACATTAAAATGTTACCGTATCAATAAAATGTCGAGATATATAATTTCCATCCAAGCGAAGCAGACCACATTTCATTTTATATCTGTAAAAGAAATTAATTAAATATAATATTAAATAATTTAAATACTTAAATAAATTAAATATTAAATATAATAAAATATACCTTAAACAAAGAATATAAAAGTATTTGAGAGAGGTTTAGAGAAGTTGAGGGAAGTTGAGAGGATTTGGTGTGACGAAAGTGATTGAGGATAGGGGTATTTATAGGGAGGGATGGGGTGTGAATGGTCGAGTTAGATATGTAATTAAACCTAAGGCGCACCATAGGGGACGCGTGTCAGATTTGCATGTAAGGCATGGCGCCTGCACCGCGCTTTACACACGTGTATCCAGTCAGCATAAGGCGCTTTTCAGGGGGCGCGCCTTACCCCACGTGGCGCTAGATCAACGTAAAGTGCGCTGTAGGGGGCGCCTTACTGCAAAGGGTGTTAGATCGAGAAAAATAGTCTGAAGGGTGCATGACAGGAAAAATTAAATGGAAAATGTGATATATCAAGAAAACGCCCTTACATTCAAAGCCTGTCAACGGTTATTCAAAAAACCAAGGCTGTCCAATAGATGATAACAAAGATATTTACCGACGATCATATGAAAAATAGAAAATAAATTTTTTTCTTCCCGAAAGCCAGTGTTAGGAGTGATCATTCGATCAAGTCAAGTCAAGTTAAAAATTTTAAATTTGTTTGAGTTGACAAGTCTTATTTTATAACTTAGATTTTATTTTTTTTTTCGAATCTAATTGAGTTGAGTTGTTCGAGTTTCTATTTAAATTTTTAATTATAATATTTATAATATTATGATAATATTTTATTATAATTATACGGTTTTCTATAATCATATACAATATATATATATATATATATATATATATATATATTTCTTCATATTTTTTATATGTAATATACATATATCATATAGAGTTGATAGGCTCGATTCTAACTTGAGAATCAATCTATTATCTACTAAAAATTTCAAGATATTCGAATTACTATTTAAGTTATTTGAGTTCTATTCTACAACTCATCTCAAATTTATATTTTTTTCCGAATCGAGTTGAGTTTATAAAATTGTGATTAGAGTCAATTCA